CAGGCCCCCTGTCTTTTCCTTATGTTAGTGGTGGAAACATACAGCCTTTGATCATTCAGTATGATGTTTGGGCATATAGTATTTTTTAGATGCACTTTATCAGGTTTAGGATTTTCCCTGTTTCCAGTTTGTTGGTATTTTTTATCATAAATTGATGTTGAATTTTGAGAAATGCCCTTTCTGTATCAATTAATATGATTATGTACTTTTTATTCTTTAAACTTTTAATTTGGGGAATTTCATTATTTATTTATTTATTGTTTGTTTGTTTTTTTGAAACATGGGAAAATTTTAATGTAATATTTGGGACTTTTTCCAGTGTAAAATTGATAAATGCTCATTGTAGAAACTGAATAATTCAAAAAAGTGATAATGAAAAAACTAATCCTACCACCCAAAACTAACCACACTTAATATTTTGGTATACTGTTTTCTATCTACATGTGTATGTGAGTGTGTGTACACATACACAAAGATTAACATTGTAAGTTTTATAGTTTTGTATTTGTATTTATTATTTAACTTTTTGAATTTATGGATTTCATTATTTAAATTTCAAATATTGAATCAACCTTTTATTACCAGGACAAACACCACCTGGTGATGGAGTATTTACTATTTTGATATTGCTGCATTAGACTTGCTAACATTTTTTAAATTTTATTTTGTCCCTTTTCTATGTTTTTTTTTTTTTTTTTATTGATTTCAGAGAGAGGAAGGAAGATGGAGAGAGAGAGAGAAACATCAGTGATGGGAGAGAGTCATCGATCAGCTGCCTCCTGCACGCCCCCTACTGGGGATGGAGCCCGAAACTTGGGCCTGTGCCCTGACCAGGAATTAAACCTTGACCTCTGGGTTCATAGGTTGATGCTCATCCACTGAGCCACGCCGGCCAGGCTAGACTTGCTAACGTTTTATTGAGGATTTTTGTGTCTGCATTCATGAGAGGTATTAGCTTAATCTTAGTTTTCTTTCTCCTCCTCCTTCTTTGTTGGTACATTCTTTGTCTGGTTTTGGTATCTGGTTAATAATAGTCTCATAAAATGAGTTGAGAAATGTTTCCCTCTCTTCTCTTTTCTGGACATTTTATAAATATTTGACAGAGTTGGTCATTGAAACCATCTAGGTTTGTGGATTTCTTATTTAGAAGATTTTAAGTATGAATTCAATTTCTGTAATAGGAAATAATGATCAGGTTATCTGTTTTATCTAGCATGAGTTTTGGTAATTTGTGATTTCAGAGGTAATTTTCCATTTTATCTAAGTTCTCAAATTTTATGTGTATAGAAATCTTCATAGTATCCCCCTTATTATCCCTTTAATTCTGGGGGTCTGTAGTGATATCCCTTCTTTCCCTCCTGATATTGGTAAATGTTTTCTTCTCTCTTTTTATTCATGTTATTCTGTCTAGAGTTTTTATCAATTGTATTGATTTTTTTAGAGACAAGCTTTTGGTTTTATTAATATTCTCTATTGTTTTTGTTTTTAATTTCATTGATTTCTGCCTTTATCTTTATTATTTCATTCCTTCTGCTTGCCTCGGGTTTATTTTGCTCTTTGTTTTTCTGGATTCTCAAAGTGGAAGTTTGGATTACTGACTTGAGACCATTCCTTTTTTTCTAATATAAGAATTAAATATCTCATCCTTTTTGATATGTTGTATTTTTATTTTCATCCACTTCATAATATTATGTAATTTCCTTTAAGAATTCTTCTCTATGGATTTGCCTTTTTAGCCACTCATAGAAGAATTTGTCATCTGTTCCATATTTTTGGTTTTTGGTTATAATCAAGTGCTAAATTGAAATATAAATAATTTCGTGAAGGTTTTAACAGCTTTATTCGTTGTTATGAATAATAATATGACATTCATTTACATTGCTTTATTAAGGATAATAATAGCTATCATGTATTGAGTGATTACTATGTCCTAGGCCTATGTTGATCACTTTATGTGATCATATCTCATTAAATTCTCCCAGCAACCATTTCAGCCAGGTACTGTTATTAGGCCAGATTTAAGGTTGAGGAAACTGACATACATATTTTAAATGACTTCTTCAGAGTCACTAACCCAGTAAGTGATTCTGTCTCACTATGTACCATGTACTTTTCTAAGCACTTTATACATATTGACTCCTTATAATAATCTTGAGTTGGTATTATTATTGTTTCTGTTGTACAGATGAGGAAACTCTCACAGGACCTTCTAGTGGCCCATTATCCATTTCCCATACCCAGTATAAATGTGGGTGTCAGGCAGGAGGTGGCCTTGGCCTCTGATGTGATTAGTTGCTTACTTGTTGAGCTGTGTCCTGGGTCTGTAGAGGACAGTTGCACTGTGTAATTCAGACATTTTTGTCACAGAAGACACAGGGGTTCTAGTGCCTTTAGGCATGACCCTCCCTCCCCCACTGACATCCCACAATTTTTTCCTAACTCGCTACCAATCTGACACACTCATGTGCTCACACACACACACGGAACATGTTGTAATGTTCATGTCATGGATTTGAAGCAGGGTACAGTGGGAAACACATAGGCTTGAAACTTGAGGAGACCTGAGTATGACTTCTCCCTCTGCCACTTATTATCTGTGTGATCTTGGGCAAGTCACTTAATCACTTAGTGCTTTGGTTTTCTCAGCCATACAATTGAAGAAGATGATGATTATAACAAAATCTGTGAGGATTAAATGAGAGGATGCATTTGAATAATTAGCCCAGTGATTTGCACATTGAAATGCTCAATACGTGTTAGATATTTTTGTAATTATTGATATGCAAGACTTTTTTATATATTATCGATAATTTACCCTTTGGCATGTATGTAGCTTGTGAAAATGAATTTTGAGGACTCAGAACAAGGCCTGCCTTTTTTTAGGAAGTTAATCATTTGTTTTGAATCTTAATATTAGTTTTATCTTCTTTAACTTTGGCCTTTCACAATCCCTTGGGTTCACTTTCATCATCCTCAAGACTCAACATTTGGTGCCCCAATTTCTAATTGGCCTGGTGTAAATTGCCAGCATTTAAGGCAAATGGCAAAGCCTGGCACCACTGTTCCTTATGTTGAGTGCATTTTACAGAGTGTTTATGCTGTGGCTGTCACATAGGAGGAACACACTTAGGCCAGATTCTGCTTCACCTGAGGCCTGGGATGGCTGTTAATGACCCCTGCTCTAAGCACTGAGGCTTGAGCCAGAGTTTTCAGTAGTCAGTTTCTCAGAGCATGGAGTATCCCTAAAAGGGACCCTGTTGCAAAAGCATGGTAACCTGGCCAGCCTGGGGATGTAGGAGTGGTATTGTATTGGCTTGCCTCCTCCCTTTGATGGACCAAGCCAAGTCCTGGTAAACTGTAGTACTGTGATGACCTCCTATGACTTAAGAGCACTCTTGCTCATTCCCTGAAAGCATATTAAGCCTCGGGAAGTGGATGCTGGAGGTGGTAGAGAGACCCACAAAGCCACAAGGAAAAAGGAGCATCTCCAATTCTCTGCCTGAGGTCATTTTTGCAAAGGACAGTGGCAGGGAGGCTCTGATAGGAGGCTGGGAGAAGAATATAATAATTTGGGGACTAGAGTCAGATAAACCAGGGTTTGAATCATGGCTCTGAAGAGTGGCATTGATCAGGTCGCTTTGCTTCTTTGAACTTGCTTTCCTCATCAATGAAATGGGAAAGATAATTATACCTATCTCATAAGATTGCTATAAAAATTAAGCGATAGTGTTCATGTATAGCAGTTAATTAGATACTTGCGTAGAATATGTTAAGTGGGCGTCATCACCATCATCATGGCATTGGCAACAAGAGCTGCAGTAAGAAACACACTGGGAGAAATGAAAAGCAGCCTTGGGGCTTCTGGGCTGTTCCCTTGGGTCTCCTTGAAACTTTACTTACTGTTAGGCACACATCTGTGAGCTCCAAGAGAAGAGCTAATGTCCTGGGGGTCTTCAAGGTATGGACTGCTTTCCTGTTCCTGGTATAGGAGAAATTCTGGTATCTCAGGGCTGCTGTGTTTGTGTGTGTGCAAGAGATCAAGAGAGTGAGAGCGAGAGGGAGAAGGAGAGACTTGAGGTCTAAGAGGCATGTTGACTCAGTGGTGGTTATATGTGACTCATCAAATCAGCTTTTCTTCCAGAGGAACAGACTGTCTTTCTTTGTTTCTCTCTTTGTAGTAAAGGACCATTTGCTTTTAGTCATAAATAAAGCTATTTAAATCCATCCTCAGAGCCCTCACAAGTGAAGTTTGTTTCTGACTTGGTTGTTCTCGACTTATACTGGGTTTCTAGTGTGTGTTTATAAAGTTTGATATTGGGAAACAGTATTACTACACAATGCTGGAGTGAACGCCTTCTCCCCACCACCCCTTTCTTTTAAATCACAGAACCCAATATATAAATAGATCAAAGGAAGCCTAGAAGGTTGCCACTTCTGCCCTTATACCTCCTATAGCAGCCCCTAAAGGCATTTCTAAGAAGACGGGGCAACAGTTTGCAAAACACTGCAGTTGGCCCTGTGGGTCGTACTAGCCATTTTATGCCCAGGTTGCTGTTTGGGGAAATGGATTGAACATGACCCCGTAAATAAGCAGCCCTGTTATAAGATATAGGCCTCTACTGTAATAACAGAGTACTTGGCCACTGTAGTTCCCCTTTTCTAATGCCACCTGAGCTGCAGCAGTTGAAGCCATTGATTGAGACTGACTGGATGTTTAGGGAACTCAGAGCTCATTATATAATGAAGTGTTGTAACCAAAGTGTGTTCCGGACGTGTTTTGGGGATTTTGAGGCAGTGATGATGCTCTTCAGAACATTTCAGTTAATACAAAATATGTGACTTTTCATTTATTATGCACATGTGCCAACCCCAGTGTTCTTTTACAGAGAGACACTTGTTTACATGTTCTCCCATATGGCGTGGCATAACCTGACACATTTTTTTCTGCCTATCCATCAGAGTCTGAGTGTGACCTAGACTTTATCTTTCTTCCTCTCCAGGCTACAGATGCATATGTTGAATGGAGCTCTTCTGGCCTTGCTGTTTCCTGTGGTAAATACCCGCCTGGTAAGTAGCCTCTTCTAGGAACATACCAGCAACATATAAAACAGCATTTGCTTGCTACTTCTTTATATATTGCTTGTCCTCCTCCTTAGCTCATGTGCACATGTGAGTATTAAAATATCTATATACACTTTACCTTTAAACAACATGGGTTTGAACTGTGCAGGTCCATTTATACATGGATTTTTAAAAATAAGTAATGTACAGTACTTTAAATGTATTTTCTTTTCCTTATGGTTTTCTTAATAACATTTTCTTTTCTCTCACTAACTTTATGGTAGAATAGAGTATATAATACATAAAACATACAAACTATATGTTAATCAACTGTTTATGTTATTGATAAGGCTTCAGGTCAACAGTAGGCTATTAGCAGTTAAGTTTTTGAGGAGTCAAAAGTTACATGTGGATTTTTGACTGCATGGGAAGGGGTCTTATCCCTAACCCCTGTGCTGTTCAAGGGTCAGCTATATTTAATGTTGAGGTTTGATGCAGCCCTGTTTCGATGCAGTGAAGCATGATGGGAATAGGAGTATTTTGTGGAACTCTGAGGCTGAGATAGTGGTTTAGGCCAGAATCAGGACAGACCAAAAAGCTTACAGAAGCTCTTGGAGAAGTTTGGTGGAGAGAAGGGAGACTAGGGGCCTCACCCATTAGACAGAGGTTTCAAGATGTTTCTAAGGGTCTCTAGTGTGGACTCAGTCACAGTGAACCAGGATAATCTGCTGGGGAGCTTCAAAGCCCATCTGCTTTGTCAGGGACCCCCCTTGGGCAAGAATTAGATTCCTTCCCCATTTGTCCAAACCTACAGGGAAGTCTGGGCTACACATCTCCTGTGGCTAGCATGTAGAATCTCACTGTGGCAGGAAGCTGAGTGATAAACCAGCAGAGAGAGAAGCAGGAGCTACAGGACTGGGTGGCAGGGCCCTGTCCTCAGAGTCCCACATGCGAGAGTGCAGAGGGATTAGGAGGCCATGTTAGAAAGCTCAGGGAAAGAAATCGCTGGTAAATCCTTCCTTCTGCTTTCCATTTTCATGACTTAAATTTGCCTCATAGTTTAAATCTCAAAATGACAATTTTTTCTCTTTGGATAACATAGTTTACAAGGTCTTTTCACATAACAGCTGTGTAAGGTAGATAGGGCAAATATCATGGCCTTTAGTCACAGAGGAAGAAACTGACACTCAGGGAGTTAAACACACACACACACACACACACACACACACAGCAGAGCTTAAGCCTCCAGACCCTACAACCAGAGCTATACTCAATCTCTCCAAGGATTTAGTCACTCCCTCTCCACAAATACTCATGTATATCCTTATGATTGTCATACTTTTCTAGATGCATATTATATATCAATATAAATTTTTAAAAAATTCATCAAAGCAATGATTTTAAACCCTCAGTATGTTCAAGTCTCACCTAGGGGTACTGTAAGAAACAGACTAGTGAATAAAACAAACAAACAAAAAACACTGATGCCCTGTTCCCCCCTGCCCCTACCACCTCAGATCACAGGTCTGAATTTCTGACCTGTGATACAGCCTGGGTACAGTGTTTTAAAGAGTTCCTTCTAACATGGAGCTGCAGTTGAGAGCCACTGATTTTGTGCAACGGTTCTGAAACAATGTCCATAGCAATCACCTGAAGGTATGGCTAAAAAGTGAGGCTTGCCAGCCCTAGCCAGGTGGCTCAGTTGGTTGGAGCATTGTTCCATGAACCAGAAGGTTGTGGGTTCAATTCCAAGTCAGGGCATATACCTAGGTTGTGGGTTCAATCCCCAGTGGTTGGGACATGTAAGAGAGGCAATTGTCTCACATTGATGTTTCTCTCTCTCTCTCTTTCTCTCTCTCTCCCTCTCTCTCCCCTGTTCCTCTCTAAAATCAATAGAAACATATCCTCAGGTGAGGATTAAAAAAAAAAAAAAGAGGTTTGCCAGACCCCATCCCCAGAAGGTCTGACTGAGAGGGTCTGAGGTAATGCCAGGGGATGCTGATTGCATGTGCCCTCAGACCACTCTTGGAAAATCAGTGTCCTAGTTGCTGAAAATTAGAAGTTACTCATGTATAACTCAAAATGTGGTCCAAATATCAGCATCTGACAGACTGTTTATTAGAAATGCAGAATTTCAGGCCCCACCTCAGACCTACTGCATCAAAACTCGCATTTTAATGGGAGCCCTGGGTGGCTTATATGCCCTAGCTCCTTTCTTCCAAAGAGCACAATGCCCCATTCAACCTCCAGAAGAAGGGAACACTAAGGTCAGAGAGGGCAGGCTGTACAGAGGTCATTGAATAATGTTATTTTCTTGAGATGTCATAGGGACTTAATTCCTGTTTATATCAATTAACCTATTGCAAAATTGGTTTCGTTATACATTATCTTGCTTAGAGTTGCAGAACCTATTAATGACAGGTGCATTAAGTTCAGTGTTCTCCTGTTAGCTGGGATCAGCAGGCACAGGCTGCTAACATAGGTACCTTTGTCCTTGTCCTCCCTTCTACATTTCCCCATACTGTGTGACTTATTTGACTTCACATGGTGAACTGTAGAATCAAAACTCCTGACTTGGTCTCAGAGCTATATGGGATAATACCCAAGAATGGTGTAAATCAAAGAAATTGAAAACACATTTTTTATTGGCTTAGGTTTGTGGAACAGCGCTGGAGCTCAAGTTACTCCCTGCCTATGGGAATAACCTGCTAAGGCAGGGAAGTGGATCCAGTGCTATCTTATTCCATCTCTCTGATCACCCTCTTACTGTTTTCTCAGAAGATTTGGAGGTCGGGCAGAGAGAAGTCTGCTCTCATTTTCCATTTTTTAGCAGCTCTATTAGATTCAAGGAAGGAGTGGTACACCAGAAAATTGATTATAAGAGTTAGTGATCCTGAATGTGAATGCATCTAGCCCACATCTTTGGCCAAATAGCATCTGCCATCAGTTGAGGTAGCTATGGTTCCTCTAATTAGGTCACCTATATCTCTCTTCTTAGTGGGACCTTTCCCCTGAGGAAAACTGAATAGTCTTCTCCTTGCAGAACCACTGAGCACAAACAGATGTTATAATTCCCATTGTGCAAGCTTGAAAATGAACGCCCATTCACATATCTGAAGTCGGAATGCTTCATTCAGTCATTAATGTGTTATACCAAAGGTATATAGTTTCACTAAGCCTGCTGATGTTTCCTTAGCCCTTTTAAAATCAACACCAGCATCAACAGCAGCTGACACTTCTTGAGTGCTTATGTGCCTGGTACTATTCTAAGTCCTTTCCATTGACTTGTTTATTTAATCCTCACAATACACTTATGAGGCAAGGTACTCTTATTATCCCCAAGATCAAGGTGCCTGCAGGGTTGGTTTCCTCTGAAGCCTTTCTCCTTGGCTTGCAGAGCGCTCCCCTCTTGTTGCCTCTCCATATGGTCTTTCCTCTGTGTCCACATACCCCTGGTATGTCTCTGTTGTCCAAATTTCCTCTTCTTATAAGGATACCCATCAGATTGTATTAGGATCCACCATGATGGCCTCACTCTATCTCCAAATATAGTTACATTCTGAGATACTAGGGGATTAGGGCTTCAACATATGAATTGGGGAGGGGAGCACAAGTCAACCCTTAATAGCTTTACCAGTCTATATAGAAAGCAGTGTTTCTCCTCCTCTCTTTCTTTCTTCTCCCTCTTTTCTTTCTTTCTTTCTTTCCTTCCTTCCTTCCTTCCTTCCTTCCTTCCTTCCTTCCTTCCTTCCTTCCTTCCTTCCTTCTTTTTCCCTCTCTCCTTCTTCCCTTTCTCATGGCAGATTTGCTGTTATATTTGTTATAATACATAATACTTTCCAAATAAATGTCAAGCTTTAGCCAACTGCCTTATCAAGAATGTTCAAGTAATATTTCTTAACACTAAAACTCCTTTAATGAGCTTTCTCTTAACTAGTAATTTCTATTATTCTGGTAAATAATTTTGGTGGTGTTTTTCTAAAATAAAGCTGAGAAAAGCTCATGGTGTTGGGCATGTGTCTTGGCCATTGGCTTTGGTCTGGTTATTTTAAATGATTGGGACCCCTCCTGGGCTACTTCTGGCCTTCAGGACTTTTATTTTGCAACCCCTTAGTTGAGCTCATATTGACTTAAAATAAGACACAGGAAGATAGGCAACTCTTTCTTTTAAGCCTGATGACTCAATTAGGCAGGAAGCCAGCCTTTGACTTGTGCCCTCCCTTCCTTCTCGGCCATTTATATTTTTAATCCTTTTCTTTTGCTCATTAGCAATAATGAGGAAGCAAGGAAAATAAAATGAACTAATTAGTGTGTGTGCACCAGAACACAGACAAACACACTCACATATATAAAGACAGAGAGAAGAGAGAGGGTTGGAGGAAATTGCCACAGTCAGCTAATGGACTGGGAGTCATCAATGAACTTCCATGTGCTGCACTCTATCCTATGACTCATGGCACCAGCTAGAGAATGCTCAGGTTCCAGTTCCTCCTGGTTCTTCATCTTAGAAGCTGACACCTTAGAAGAAGGAATGTGTGTTCCAATGGCGTGTATTATAAGTAAGTGCTCTTTGCTGCCACAATTCTGGAGAAGGTCTCTTTCTGGCTTCAGATGAGGCATCTTCAGGGCTTTTTTTTTCTTCTTCTTCTTCTTAGAAGGAAGGAGGGGACATGCACTAATGATTATTTAGATTAGGAGGGAGCTGAAAGCTTGTCTGGTCTAATCTTATCACCTGGAGGGGGAATTTAGGAGGATAAATGACTTGCTTAAGAAGAAAAGGTGGGTGCCCCCTGAACTCAGGTCTCCTGATTCAGACTTCAGAGCTCTTTTTGTGTTGTCTGAAACTCCTGGCAAGTTTGAATGCTAGTGAATTGAGGTGCTAGAGATGCTTCTTAGCTTCCCTCCATCTAAAAGATTTAGGTCATAGGCTTCTTTGAGAAGCTGAAGAGGACCATACAGACTCTTCCTAGATAAATACACAAACACATTTTATACACAATTTCACT